ATAAATAAAACAAAATAACATCATATAATTTATACTTAACAAATACATAGTTATAATAAAATTGTAGAAATAAGTAATTTAATTATTATTATAAATATATTTTCCGAGAAAAAAACTTGAAAGTATTAAAATTAATTAATTTCTTCGACTTACTGAAGTTTATAAAAAATATCTATATACATGCTGGTAAATTTCAATTTTTTTTAAAATAAATACCTATTTAAATAATATGAGAACGTTAACTATCATCATATTATTATAAACAGCATGGCGTTAAATTGATATATTACTAATATTATAAGAAAAAACATAAAGATTTGTATCAACCCCGAAAAAAACATTATGGTCGCATATGACTTGAAAAATCTTAAAAAAAGAAATAAATAAATAATATTATTTAATATATAATACGCACATGTTACTGTATAGCTAGATGTGTAAGTTTGTCGGTATGTGTTTCTTTGAGGTTGATATATGACACAAATAGGTAATTTTTATAGTCACAAACGAGCATGACTAGAGTTCACAATTAAAGAAAACGGGGAAAAAACAACATAGCTTTACACCGATCATAATATTAAACGTTTAACATTTTACTTATAACTAACAAGTTTTTTTTTTTTAATGTTGCACCGAAAAAACATGATGTGCACCGCCTTGGCCAATAAAAACAGATATCTTAGTCAGATAAGTATAGAGTTTCCCAGACCTTTGTTCCTCAGCTTATTCCGACGTCATTAGCAAAATGTTTAGTCATTATTTTATTATTTTATTAGGATAAAAACCACAGTTTAACATAGAACGACGATTACGAGCATTAAAATACCAAATTCTATAGATACATGAACACTAAAATTACGTTTTTATTTTCTTATGTAAGTAAATTTATTATATTTATAAGCTCAATACTAATTTGCATAGAAATTGGTCATCATTATCTCATATTAATATGTGTAAGTAGGTATACAATACACATAAACCTACCTACTTTTTCAAACATATGTATTTGGATTTCTGAATAAAATTGTTTGACAGACTCCTTTTTTAAAATTTTCACTTATAGGTATAAGAATATTTTCAACAAATTCACAAACGTGTTCTATTCTAACATTATTTAGTAATATTAATAGTGACTATTAATTTTATAACTTTTGGATTTCTTATTTAAATTTACGCAATCAAATTATGAGATAATAGTTAATAAACTTTATAATATAGTTATATGTATAATGCATAGTATTAAATTGTATATTTTTTAATGTTTTTATTAATTTATAACTATACGTCTAATACTTGCCTAATTATGAGTAGTTAATGACAAATTTAATATTACTTATTAATATGTGTTAAATTTACACGAAAAAATACATATATTTATAAACACTTATATACCTACATATTATAGACATATTGACAAAATATTATTTATAATCACTGAACAGATTAAATATCTATATTTAATGAATTTTTATTTAAGTTCTAACTCAGTAATGGCGATATTGTAACTTATATCCTAAAATTTATACTTGAAATTTATTTTTTGTTACATAAAACATTCAATATTTAGTATTAAATATTCATAATATTCATATTTAAACTAACTATATACCTATAAAAAGCCATAATCAAATTTGAATTTTTTTTTTTGTTCAATTTTTAAATATTAGTTAGCAGATGTTATAAATATAATAAGCTCGTGTTAAATAACAAGAGTTATTCGCAGCTAAACTATCTATTAAAATATAATAGTTATAGCCAGTTATGTAGGTAAACATTACATTTCGAAAATTGAATACGTTTAAAAAGAAAACAGAAACATTATCATATTATACGTCATAATATATTCTAATCACCACTTTACATCATCATAATATTATTTTGCTTTAGCACGCCTTCCTAACTGATTTTAATCGACCGTTGTGGTATTTCGAAATTTGCATTTTCAAATGACTCAGGAGGGTTGCGATTCCGTACGCGCTACTGTTTCTGATCGTTAGTAGAATGCAGAACAATGCGTGTGGTCGTTGGGATTCAATTATTGTCACCTCGAAAATACACGGCGTGTATGTGTAGCGTGTTCGCTGATAAAATCGAGATTTAATAAAAAAAAAAAATAAGAATGAAAATAAGAATAAGAAATATATTAAATAATAATAATAAAAATAAAAGACAAAGGGGAAAAGTAACATCACGATCCACGCAATGGCGCACAAAAATAAATATCTATCCAAGACTAGTCGCCAACAACACGGCGATAATTAATTAATTAATAAATAGTGTCTAAAAACTTTGTTTCTATACCTACCTACTATTATATGCATTATGTTAATATTCCTTGTAGTTGTTTAACGTTTTGTTTTTTATTAATTATAAATGCTTGAGCGTGTACCTGTGTAATATTGTGTGGAAAAGAATCCAATAGGTATATCCGGGGACCTACATGGGAGGTTCGTACAACGCGTTTACAATGTTAACAAATGCAGATAGTAATCGATTGGGAATCGTGAGAAAAAAAAATAGTCAGATAAAGTGCCAGTTAAATGTTATTGATGCCCAGGCATACTGCATACTTTACGGCGATTGACGAATAAAGGGTATCGATGACAAATGTTTATTGTTATCATCTCTACACTAAATAAAATTAAGTATTGTTTGGGTATATACACAAAATAGATAATTTATATTTATTATGGTTTAAGGTTTTAGACTTTTAGAATATAATTAAGTACAAATGTATATAAAATAACTATTATATTATATAAGCAATAGTATTATATACAATAATAATAATTTACAACATATTAAGTGAATACCGTCGTCCGTCATAGTACCCAAAATTATGTATTTAGGTCGATATAAATAAACAAGCATGTTAAAATGCTGAATTTTCATAAAATTGTTTAATCTAAAAATATGTAAAATATTAGTTCCTGATGATTTTTTATAATAACTCATTATAAAAAATAATTCAGGTTTTCGTATAATTTTCAAATAAATAACAAGAAAAAATACTGTAGCAATTTTAGAATATTTTCTTTGGTTTTAGGGACATTTTAATTGATTTCATTCGTATCTCTATTTATAATTATTAAACATCAACTATTGGTGTTCTATCTAAATCTACTTTTAGTTATTTAATTATTAAGAATACATTAATTAATAGACCGTTATATTGATTATTTCAAAGATTTTGTTTTTAATTATACTTGGATATTATTTTCATTTAAAAAGTATGATCATGGACAAATGTATCTTCAACAAATATTTTGTTATTTAAAAAAAATAATCACATTAAACTTTTGGAATAAATAATGTGTAATGAGTAATGACTAATGATAATTTACTTAATGTTCGATGAATGTTTTATTATTTTTTTTCCAAATAAGATTATATATTATGTGTATTATAAGTATATATTAAGGAATAGGTACTATAGAAAAAAGATTATACATTATTATACACAAAAATATATGGATAAAAACGGAAAGTACGTTTATTATTTTTTTAGAGGAAAATGAACAATGGAGTCAATGGCGGGAAAATAGTATTCTCCGCCGTTTAATATATTATATTAATATTCTAAGAAGCTTAAAATTATTAACTCACAATTATCATTCTTTGAATAATTTATGTCCGACTATAGTCTATAATTGAATTAATTCACTATAACTCATATATGCTTGAGTAAAATAAACATTTTTTTTTTTGAATAAAATAATTGTGTTAGTAGGTATATCAGCGTATGCGAACGGGTGAAATTTGAATTATAGTCATTGTAGGTAAACATTACTTAGATACCATGGTTGTAGTTACTATATTCAGCAATCAAAAAGTTCTAATTGATTTAAATAATTTTATGTTTTTATTTATTATACATATTATAGAATATAGGTTAACTATAATAATAATAATATTATTATATAACATTTTATATTTTTATTAGGTACAGGTTCTTCGTTCTAGAAACAGCAACTTTATAAATACCTATGGTTTTATAATCTGGACTCTAGAGTAATTGAAGTCGTCCGGTCATCATAATATAGTAAATATAAACATAATATCCATAGCCTATAGGCTAAACGTAACAATAAAAAAAATTGATATCAAAGTAATAAAATATTCTCCACTTACCTATTTAGTATTTATACTTTGTCGGCTGTCTATTGAACACAATTCAAAAAATTAAAATTTTGAGCCAATCGGCAATCAATATAGATTAATCAGTAATAAGCAGACAGCAGACAGTTAGTAACCACTAATTTCAGGATCGACGATTACCACCTAATCACTTAATCAGTTATGTTATTGAAATCGAGTGCGCTCGTTCGTGTTTACTGTTTACATACTATAATAATATGCCATAAGTTATAACTATAGGTACTTAATATTCCCTAAATCAGTCAATCATTGGCTCAGTCTCAGTGGTTCTCAACTGTTTTTTTTTTGCATTGGCACTCTTAGGTATTATTTAAAAAGTAAAAACACAGGTGTCTTCAGTCTACACTAATAACTTCAATTTTATGTGATTATAAATTGTACCTTAACACGCTTAACATACTTTTATTGTTTAGAAACAAGTAGGTATTTTAAAATCTTTCAATGAATACCTATTGGTTTTATCGAGATTCGAGACCTAGTGGAGGGGCATTAATTGCATCGATATGATGAGCTATAGTAATTGCAGACCACTCCAGTATCAACATTAAAATAAATTCAACTATTATGATAAATATTTACATATAAATTATAAATTATATAATATGCATAGTATATAATGAAATATCAAATGCTTTTTATATAATTTAAATGGTAGGTGCTGTTTTATTTTTTTATTTATACAATATATCTATCATACCTATAATTATAGATTCAACTAATAAATAATAATAAATTAATAACTATTTTAGTGTAAATACTAAATACTCACATTTGTACATTTTTATTACTTCAAATTTGATTTACCTGCAGTGGTTTCTGTAATATTATGTGTTAAGTATATTTATACAATTATCTAAGACATCATGACTGGCATCATCTATGATAATAATTTTACCACACACAAATGCTTATGGGATGAATATTATTCAGAAAATCCACAGCGATATATATCTATACTAGAGCGGTAAGTTTGTTACATAGGAGTAATTAAAATATTGTACTATATTTAATTAACTATCTAAGCATACTGTTTAATTGATACAGTTGTAATTCATTGGGATTGATCGATCGGTGCACTAAAATATCCTCACGCCAAGCTACCAAAGAAGAATTACTATCTAAACACATGAAGGAACATATTGATTTATTAGAAAGTACAGAGCACTATAATGATGAAGAATTGGAACAATTGTCCTCAAGATATGATTCAATATATCTACACCATGTATGTCACTTAAAAAATATAACTTATAAATACTATATATTTTGATGCAAATTATAAACCTATTTTAATGGTAAATAGATAATCATAGGTACTTATACATTAAATAATGACATAATATTTTAGTTTTTAATACTTAAAATAACAATCAGAACGCTAATTACTTATACTTGTCTAGTATGGATTGCAGAAATAAAAAAAAACATTTTTTAAAATTTCTTATATTAGTATTTTATTTTTGTTTTTTTCATTGACAAATTTATTGGAGAGATATGCTGGAAATGTAGACTAGTTATAAGTAAAGATAAGTAGGTAGCTTTTCTTTGTTATATTTAAACATTTATTTTGTGACAAATAGGTAGTTCAAAATTAGTGATATTTGCTGAAAACATAATTTTATTTGTTAATAAATACATTTATAAAATATAAAAATATTATAATTAAATGAAAAATACCTTCTCAAATTATAAAATTATATGTTTATTATGTTATATTAAAGGTACCTATATTGTTTTAAATGTTTATAGTCAACTTACAAACAATCCCTACTTGCAGCTGGTAGTTCAATTGAATTAGTCAAAGCAGTTGTAGATGGTCATGTAAAAAATGGAATGGCTTTTATTCGGTGTGTATTTATAAATTTTACATAAATTCACATTATTACATTATTTTTTTAATAAATCATTGTTAGACCTCCTGGACACCATGCCATGAAGTCTGAATACTGTGGTTATTGTTTTATTAATAACGTTGCAATAGCTACTCAATATTTATTGGACAAAACAGCTATCCAAAAAATACTTATTGTTGACTGGGATATACACCATGGTCAGGCTACTCAACAGATGTTTTATGAAGACCCAAGGTAAAAATTTAGTTAATTATGATTAATAACTAGTGTTATAAAAATTTGTTCAATTAGAGTGTTATATTTTTCTATTCATCGTTATGAGCATGGACAGTTTTGGCCAAATTTAAGAGAAAGTGATTTTGATCATATAGGCAATGGAGACGGTACTGGTTTCAATATCAATGTTCCTCTAAATGACATTGGAATGAAAAATGAAGATTATATGGCTATAATTCATTACTTATTAATTCCTTTGGCAACCGAGGTAATTAGTAATAATAATAATAAAAAAAACCTACTGTGATAATAAATACTTCTCATAATTATCAATTTGGTTAATAAATAATTTATTCAATTTATTTTAAAGTTTTCTCCAGATTTCATAATTATTTCAAGTGGATATGATTCAGCCCTTGGGGATCCTAAAGTACCTATTTTATTTATTTGTGTTAATTTTATACAATTAGTTTATAAATGTTATATATTTAATACCTATACCAATTAAATCTACTATTCCAGGGTGAAATGTTAGTTACTCCAGCATGTTATGCTCATATTACACAAAAATTAATGAATCTTAGCTGTGGTAGAGTAGTCGCTATACTTGAGGTATGTGTAAGTTCAGCATATTTTAAATAAAATTTAATTTCTTTATAAATTGTTTAGGGAGGTTACTACTTGAAGAGTTTGGCTGAAAGTGCAGCATTGACATTAAGAGCATTATTGGGAGATCCATGTCCAGTTATTGGGTCATTACAACAACCATGTAAAAGGTAAAATATACAAAATTAAAATCTAGTCTGAATAATTTTTTTTTTTTTATTAATGAATATTTTTAAAGTTTAGAATAGAATAGTAATGAACCATGTTATTTTGGGTAATACTCACAAGTCATAATATTTTTTTAAACTTCATAAATTCAAAATTCTATTGCTTATTATTGAAAACAGTTCTTAAATAGATTTTTAATATATTGTTAAAAATATACTCAATCGTATAAAAACATTTTTAAAATGTCTTTAATTCACAAAGAAAGTTTTAGATTAGTGTATTTAGTTGAATTTATAACTTCATACCATTCAAATAATGCATGTTATTATAGTGTAATGGAAACCATTGGCAATGTGATTTATGCTCATAGACATTATTGGAATTGTTTCAAGTATAATATTCTTTATAAAGAAAAAATACCTGAAATTTATTATAATTTCTTTGATGAAAAGCCAGAAATATATCCAACAAGAAATATGTATTCAAAAATTGATACTTCAAGTTTTGATATAATTTTAAACAATATTATTACAGGTATACAATGCTATATATTTTTATTAAACAATACTTAATAAATTTTACTATTTAAAAAGAAACTAAACTATTCAACCCAAAAATTAAAGTTGGTTTAACATCCAAAGAGATTGAGCATTCAAACAATTTAAAAAATAGTGAAATCTATCAATATTTGAGTTCAAAAATTGGAAATTTACATATTTTAAAGGTAATATTATGTTTTAAATTGAAATTAATTAAATTTATTTTAAGTAAGTAAATAACCAGAATACTGTAATTCAAATAACCTCATTTATAATATCTTTTTAACCAACAATTTATACTTATAAACTTAATTACTATTTTGTTATGTTATGATAGATCAAAATTATTTATTATTTTTTTTATTTTACATTTAATTGATAAGTTAGTTAAAATTATCAATTAATTAAATTACTTTGACTTTTGAGTGTTTATTAGGTTGACAAAAGTATAAATGTTGTCAAATTATCAATATAATATTATAAATGAAAAATAAATACCTAAAAAAAAAAACTGTTTATTTCAGGGGATTTGTTAATAATTTATAAATATTTAAGAGTATATAAAAATTACATTATTTAAAATAAATTATGAATAACATTTTAATTGTTTATAGGAACATCAATTGACAGTTGAAGAATTTAAAATAGTTTATTCAACTGAGTACATCAAAGAAAAAATATGCAAACAGAATTATATTGACAAAGAGCAGTGTAGTACTACCATCATCAGTAATAAATTCATTGAAGATGATCCAGTATTTAAAATATTTTCTTTTTTTGTTGGACCACTATTGCAGGTTGTAGTAAATACTTAAGAATTTTTAAATCACGTTCATTAATAATCATATTTTATTATTTAAAATAAAAATGGTAACAGATCATTGATTCAATATTTAAAAATGAAATTAAATCTGGGATATTTGTATCGTCATCAATTGCAACCTTAAGAAAAAATGAAACCTCATATACTTTAAATGCTTCCATTATTGGTGCCAACTACGCCATAAAAAAATATTACTTGAAAAGGTTTTGATAATAAATAATTTATTAAAATATCATACTCAATTGTTAAAATATATTAACCTATAACATGATACTATATTTGTGTTACAGGATATTAATAATCGAACTGAATGAAAACGTTACAGAAACATTATCTACTGATCAAATGTTAATTATTTCAGTGCATGACTTATTAAATAGTTCAACAACTATAAACAAGAACAATCATGTCAATATTTCATGGTCAAAAGTAGTAATCAATAAGTTATAATAAAGTTGATCAAACTTTATAATTTATTTATTAATTTTTGTTGCTTAGAAAATATTGAATGAAGCAGAATTTACTATAATGATGCAACATTTGATTTTACCAATCGCTTATGAATATAATCCCGAATTGATAATTGTGTCCTCAAAGTTCTACTCTAATATAAATAACATTAACGGTAAAAATTAATAAATATTTATTTAATATTTATTAAAAAAAAAATAAAAACTTTTACTTTTAGGTATACAAATGACTCCTATCATGTATGGATATCTCGTTCAATGGTTAAGTACTTTAGCTAATGGAAGACTCATCTTATATGAACAAGATGTCCATGATAATTCAATATATAGAAATGAATGTTTATTACAGTGTTCAAAAGCTTTATTTGGTAAATCAATATCAAAATTGTGCGTGACAAATCTATTAAATTTAGAATCCAAAAATATTTTACTTAACAATATAAAAAACCACAGAAATAACTGGAAATCATTGCAATTTTAAAGTAAAATAATAATTTATAGTTTATATTTTAAATTATTATTTAACAATAGTTTACAAATTAATCAATTTGTATAATTTATAAATTCATATATTATTTTCATATAAATAACAAAATTTTCTAATTACATAGTATAGTTTGAAAATTTGTATATATTTTTAATTTTAAATGAAAAATAAAAATATTGTAGTTTAATGCATTGTTATATTATTAAATGTACAATAAATTTAATTTATTTAAAATGTATTTAAGAAGTATAGTAAATTATTAGTGATCACAATTAAAAACCTATAGCTTAAGAACAAATATTACACAATATTAAGAACTAAAAAAAAAAAAAACATATCACATGCAATAAATTATAATTGGCTTAATATTTCTATAATAGCATAATATTAATAAGTAAAATTATTTCATCAATAATACTATATTTAATTTTTTAAATACAATTTTCATAAGTTATTGATATCAACACTGAACCTATAAAATGTTTTTATGCACATGAGGTAAAATAGTATGGGATATTGAAACTAAAATATTTTTAATGATAAAAATTGAACTATACTATAGGTTTTGAATAAATGATTGAATGTGTATCTATACCAATTCAAATATAAGTAAATTATGTATTAATACTACTTTTGTTTAAAGTATAATTTTCTCTTCAACACTATACTACAAAAAAGTTTAAATTGTGTAAATATATATTTTCCATAATATTTGACTTGAATTAAAATATTTCATTTTAGGTATTTATTGGTTTTCTGTATTAACTTTGATAATGATCTCATATTTTTGTATTAGTGCATGGAAACTATTTTTATTTTTTGTTATATAGATGTGAGGTAAGTATATGGATTTTAATTGTTATTTAAATGAAAAATTGATTCCCCAGACTGCAAAACTGGATTAAAAACAATTTGTATGTTCTAGGCAAGTAGGGGCTCAAATTTCCAAATTATTTATGTAAGTACATAAAATAAAAGAATTATAGAAATTCTCCCTTCCCCCTCCAAAAAAACAACATTATAATCACACCTTATTTATTTTTTATTGGAGAACAAGTATCTTGAGCTAATATAGTAATATTATATTTATAATATCTTTTAATGTCTATTATAGTAGAAATATAAGGTATATTTTATTTTAGTTAATATCAGTCGTGAAGTATATCATACTACGTCATCAAACATTTAAGAATTAAAATATAAAATTAAATTTTTAATATATTAAACTTAATGCATATATTCCATAGATGTAAATTAATAATAGTATTTATTACCAAGATATAATTGATTTATTATTATTTCTAAATGTATAATTCAAGTTTAAATATTTTTCACTATAAAATTTCAATACAATTGTACATATAGTTTAATAAAATATTGGTAGAATATAATACTCTATAGTCTATCGATAATATTTGGTTGAGAGACAAGTCTCAACGATTAAAAAATAGGTGATAAATTTAATTTATAACCATATCTTTCTTAAAGTTTGCATAGAAAACCAAAAATAGTTAAAATTGATGACTAGAATTTGCATTTTTGTTATCCTGAATTTAAGGAAATGGTAATTATTAATTACTCTTAAGTAATCTGTAAAGCTTTAATTGTATATTGTAATACAAAAAAACATTGAAAATGCATCTAAAAATATAAAAGTTAAAACCGTAATAACTAATAAGTAATATAATTGTATAAATAATAAAATATGCAATGTTGTATTATTATTCAGTCTTTATAGTAATTTTATAAAGTACAAGTGAAAATATATCACGAAGTTCTGTCAAACTAATATAAGGCATATTGTTGTCATGGTACAATAAATCTATCATGGATGTGAAATAAAATTGTAATGATTCTATTGACAAATGAGGAAAAAACATTTTTTTTGTGTATGCAAGACTAGATGCATTACCAACTGATTCAAATTGCTTGGTTAAAGAACCAGATAGTGAAAAATAGACTGTAAGTTCTTCTTTATAAGGAATATTTTTAATAATATTCATCACAGTGTCATACAATGCATTGGGATCCAATGAAGAACCAAGATCATATACTTTGATGTGACGTTGATTCCTAAAATATTTAACAATCATTAATTAACATAGAAATAATATATTATTAAATATTTATATAATAATAGATATACTTTTATAACTAGGGCTTAGAAGTAGTAAGATTTGCATATTTTTCTATATGCTCTCATCTTTAATAAATTAAGCTAGAAATCCATTCTATATAATGACGAGTTAAAAAATTAGAAATTTGAAATTTATATTAAATGTTTTCTAAATAAAATGTATGTTTTTATTTTATGACTTATGTAACATATTTTAATATACAACTTCAAAAATATTTAAAATATATTTTTATTGTCAACTCATAAACTGTTTTCTACACAACAAATTTTTCTATTGATTTTTATTTATTTAATATGATTATATATAAACAAAAATTATTTATTGATAAATAGAAATTAAAACATTTTTTTTTTCCTGTAGTTTTTTTGTGCATATTTTGTCTATTTTTGCTCTTTTAACTTCTGAACCCAATTAATAACAATAAGTTTTGACATTATGATGAAATGGTGAATAATTTAGTTATAATAAAAATACATTCCAAATTAAATAGAATAGTATACTATAATGTACTGTAATTTATATTTTAATAATTTTAAAAATGTTTATGTTAAAAAAATTGTTTTATAAGTTTTGTTTATAATTGTATACACGTATAAATCAATTTCATTGGAAAGTTATAAATATGTCATGACACAACATGGTATAAAATATTCTAATTTATTTTAAAATAAATAATACAATAGCAATAAAAAATTATTAACTTACGTGTAAAGAAAACTTTCGTTTGATTGAGGAACCATTAATAAGCCAACAGGAATAGAATATGTATGACTATGAATTAAATAGGTATTAGTTGCATGTTTAATATCTTGAAATAAATATGAGATCATTGGAATAATACCAGCCTGGTGCAGGTAACCATAAAATATAAATCCAATAATATTAGAAAAACACCAAATTGGAAGTATATGTTTAAAATTCTTCATGTAATGACTAGAAAAATACTTGGAAGTAGAAAAATAATTGGAAGTAGAAAATACAATTGGTAATAAAAGAGGTAACAAAAATCTGGGCTCTTGGTGTGGAAAAATTGATAACAGGAACAATGGAATGATCACATTAGCCATCATTAAAGTTTTAACTTCATAAATATTTGGTAATAAATGGTAATGATGATTTAAAATACTGTAAGAATACATAATATTTATGAATTAGTTAAACAATATGAATATAGATTGAAAGGTTGTAACATTTTATCTGTGAAACCAATATACTTACATTTTTATCAAAGAACTGAATTGTAAACGTCCTAGAAAGAGTAGAGTTAAGATATTGAAAAGCAATGGCATGTTTATGATGGCATGAGTCATTCGAAAGTGGATACCATGTTCAGCCAAATTTGAAGGTTGTATATTATACTTGATAAAATTTAAAGGTGTTATGACTAAATTGACTTTGTTTTCTGTTATATGTTCAAAGTAAAATGAATCAATGAGAATAAACATAACAACTCCAGGTAGAGTACATAGAAATAATATTATAAAACGTAAATTGAATATTTTTATAAAACGATCATTGTTTTTAGAAAATCCTCTGGAAACCCAATAGAATATAGGGGTAACAGCAAATAGTAAAAAAGTTGGTCTATTGAAGGTACCAACGGCTAAAATGGTACCAATTTCCAAACAATGAGAAAAATGATGACTAGGTAATAGACGCAGCTTACGGCTCATCAACACTTTATCTGTTATTGATGTACGAAAGGCATACATATTTCGTATTTCATTTTCAGCAACTAAAACCTATAAAAAAGAATTTAAAAATAATAAGTTAAAAAGAACATATATTATTATATATAATTAACTTACTTTATCTGAAACAGTCATACTGTCAGCAACTTTCCACAGCAAAAGCGATGCTAAAGCCAATTCTAAAGAGTTGGTAAATGTTTTTGTACCAAATACAATTATAACATAAGAACTTGAAAGAAGTAACAAATACCTATTAGACTTAAGTTTGAGTAATTTACATATCCTGAAAAATGTGTAATCGATAATATTATTTTGTACTTAAAAATATACAATGAAATTTGTTGTTATTATATTATTGTCATACTTATATAATGAATAATCAGTTACAAATGACACTGCACAAGTAACTAATCGGAAAACAAACATCAATAGAAAAGGATTCCACTGAATTTTAAATAATTTAAAAATCCATTTGGCAATATATAATGGCATGCCAAAAATTCCATATAATAAACCTATACTTCTAACTGGTGTGTCTTTATTAAATTCCCAAGGGCGGCCGTGTATAACTCCAAAGACATCACCTAAAATTAAAATTATTTATTTATTATTCTTATTTATTTCATGTTACAAAAGTATGTTACTTTTAACTCAGTTTTCTAACAAAAAAATAAAGGGATTTATTATTTTATAATCATTTTTAAATAATTTTCAAGTTAAATTATTACCTACTACAAAAAAAATGTTATAAACTGAGAATTATTATTAATTGTATAAAACTCAGTAACTATTAATTATATTATATATTTACTATAAACATAGTAATCAACTTAATCTATTTAATCATAATTAAAGCTAATCATCATGAAATAGAGACCTTAACACATACATACATTTAATGTTATCTATGTGAGTGAAAATCATATTAAAATAATAAATTTATTAGATTAGGTACCTATATATTTATAAAACATTTGTTTATTTTTTTAAAGTAAAAACTTAGAGTTGTAACATTAGGAGTAAAATACTTCAATAACTCAATAAAAAGTACTGTTTAGGAGCTTACCAGTGATGATTTCAGTCGTTTGAAAAAATTCATCAGGATGAATATAGCCATTTTGTACGAAAATAGTAGATAATATTCTAAATGCCACCAAGCAACCATAATCTGGTGACATAATATTATATTAAAAATATAAAAATTCAACTTAGTTTTTAAGTTGGAGAGAGCTTGTTTGTTGATCACGATATGAACTATGAAGTTTTAAGTTGTTATCATTTAAATAATTTTATCATGATTGGGCGAGTCACCGCGGTTATTACCATGTTATAGTTGTGCTATGGACCAATATGGTTGAAGTCGATAAGTGCACGCGATTGATATAGTTAATACTGTTAATAGTTATTAGTTATCTATGGATATTGGATAATGGATATTTACTATTTACTTTTGTCGACTTTTTCGATGGATGGTACTGTACTACTTTCATTAAGAATTAAATTGCAAATAATTTTTAAGGAGTTTAACTTTTAACTTAGACTTTTTTCCAAGAGCATATATGCGAATCTTGTAAATTTGTTGGTAATAAATCTTAATTAGACTTTCTATTTGTATGTGTGAGTAATGTAAAAAATAATGTAATGGAGCGATTTCCAGGGGTGGATTTAAAAATTTGCTGCCCTCATTCTAAAAAAAAAAAATCACTTTTGTAGGTACAACAAAATTTCATCACATAATTACATTTTCTATATATTATGTAATTATTTTTTCATTTAACTAAAGTTTAAGTATTTTTCTGTAAAAGAATAAAATTAATATTAAATACAATTATGTCGCATATAAAAATGTGCCATCCCATGTGGCCTCGTATAGTAGATCACAGTGCTTTAAATTTCCAGTGCTACTGATCTCACACGTTTCATTATTAATAAAAAATGATTCTAAACAAAAACAGAACTGTCTATCAGCCTACATCATCAAGTGATTTGTTTTTTTGACATACCTACCTAGTACCTAGCTATTAAAGTAATTTATTTTACTTATGGGCACTGATTAAGCATATTTAATCAGTAGGTACTTATAGTATTATAGTAGATAGACATAACATTTTCTGAAAATATTGCATTTATTTTATTATATTGATAAATATTTATACCATAAATATCACCTTATATTACACAAAATTTAATAACATTTTCTGTAAATACTGTAAAAAAGTAAAAATAGATTCATAGTACTAATAAATAAATATTATTTTGAAAGAAATCAAAAATGTAATTGTGTATTGTAAAATTCATATTAATATGAATTACATAAAAGTTTCTACGAATATTTATTTTAAATTATAACAAATTAATTGATATGTTGTTATTTATCTTTCTAATAAGTAATTTCTTCTATAATAGAACTTCAAATGCATATAAAAAAAATTGTGCCAGTGTAATTTTTATATTTTTAAATATTTTGATTCAGCAAATAATTTTTTGTCGACATCTAAAGCAAAAACAATGAAAATTTCTTATGCCTATAAATAATTTAGTCAAAACACATGGAAAATCTCATTGTATAATGAAAATGATTCTTAAAACATTTAGTGAAAATTTCAAGTATATTTGCGGTTATTCGTTTTTGAGTTAGGTATGTAAATACAAAACTATTTTGTCAAACATTGAATTTTGCATATTCTTTGAAATTGTTATTCCCAATTATAAAATTAAATATTGGGATTTTTAAGTTTGATCTCTTTAAAGAAAAAACTAGAATCAACTTGTTATCCAAAACCACTCTCATTTTTGAAAATTAAAGTATTATCAGATTATATTAACAATTTATCTTGAACTCGTCCACAAAAAAATATATCATAAAATTAATATATTCATTGTTCTGTTCAAAATCTAAAATTAATTTAAAAATATTTTAAGTTAAAAAAAATAATAATATATTTTTGTACAATACACAATGAATACCATAATTTATTTGAGTGATTATTTATAATATACCAGGAAGTAATCTAGCTTATTTTTCTATTATTCCAATTCTGCCATTCTGGTATCATTATTCATTATTCATAAATCTACAGTATTTAATTGTTTGAATAAATTAAGCACCAGACACTTTATTTTTTAAATTTAAAATTATGATACATTTTATATAGTTTTTTATCTTCTGATGACATTTGATACTGCCTTTATTGATTATTTTCTTCTTCCATTCTTTCATTTTGCATTAATGAAAATATTTCATCAATTTCTTCTTTTTCTTTTGTTGGGAACAAATTTTTAAAAAAGTTTATAATTGACTCTCGTTCATTCCATATTCCAAAACCTTTAAATAAAATGCTTGATTAAAACCAAAAACAAAATTTTGGAAAATAGTTTTAATTTATACATAGTATATTTACCGACTCCTATTAATATTGAAACAAAAGTAAATATGTTTTGACCATTTATTGCTACTGTCTTGTCCATATTTGTAAATAAAAATGAAGGCTTATAATAGACTTATAATACAGTACAATAGCAAGTAAATTGATTGTTCGAATCTGAAACCAAACTAATAAACAGACAAACAGTTAATAATTTAATTTAATAAATAACAATATACAGGTATACAGGAGTTATTTACAGACTACAGTTTACGTTGCAGTATCAAAAAAAATCATCAAGATGCAAAAGAAGCACGAACTGTACTTCTCTCTATGACAAAAACGTTAAAATGTTATGCAACAAAATATAAGTTTTATTGAGTAACTAGTATATCTTAAATCCTATTTAGATAAAATAATATACTAACATTACTAGCAAACATTTAAATAACTTTATTTAACAATTTAACATGTATCCAGGGCAGTAATCAATAAGGTCTGAACCTCCCTCCACAATTTTTTTTAATATATAAACAGTGATTTAGCATTTTTAATGTACATATAAATGTTAATGTTTTATATATCTAAATTAAACACTTTATTCTCTAGACGTTTTTGAAAATAAAAAATTAATTTTAGTAAATGATAGAATATCCTTGAACATAATTGAGAGATTATAGTATAAGATTAATTACCAATACAAGTTACAAATACATAGGATTCCAAAAAGAGTTAGTTCATAAGTTAACTTCTAATTGTATAACATGACTTAATAGTTATATTTATTATTTCACTTACTGAATTTTTACACCACAAAGTACAATATAATATGTAGTTAATGATATTATGAGAAAAGTGATAAAACAAATTGGTATTAAAAAAAAAAAGAAAAATTAATTATAAAATATCAAAATAGGAAAAAAAAACACAAAAATATTGAAATTTAAACAAGTATACAATTACGGTTTAAAATAGGGTAAGTCTAATATTATTGACCTAAACTGAACTTATTACGTCTTAATGTTTTGATACCGACTAGTTTCATTTCAAAAATTCAAAGTGGACACGTTATCATAGATACTAGTATCAATGTCCGTAATGTTAACGCTATAAAAGCACAGAAATACAGAATATTATGTAAATAGAAATCAGAAACTCAGAAAGGAATCTTATTTCATTTAACTTTTAACATGGAGTCTTATGGGAAATGATAAGATCGCTTGTATAGAAATTAAACGTGCTGCCACGTACCAGAAAATTTCTATTTTTTCTTTATATTGTGTTGCACTGTTCATTTGCTAAAATTTCAAGTCATTTATATTCATTGTTCAAATCATCATGCATTTTTTTTTAAGATTTTGGACTTTTACCATCTATAAAAGTACAAAATCTAAGAAAACAAAAAATTTTTTTTTAATTATCATTATTTACTTAGTTTATGTTTGGGATTCTTAGTGACAAATATTTGGGAATTTGAGAACTTGTTGTTTTACTAATCTTCGTAGAAGTAGACACAGAAACGGTTTGTGAAGAAGACAAATCTAAACCTAGAGTAACACAAATTGTATTCAATTATTGAATAGGTAACTAATAAGTAGTTATAGAAGGTAATACACTACATCATATTATAAAAAAAAACAAATCCAATAAAATGTACATTTTAAAATATTAAGTCACGTACCGGCTGTTGAACACGATGGTAGGTCATCAATTTCACTCGGAGGATTTGAAACTTTAATATTTTTTGAACCAACCAAAGAACTATCTTGAGACTTGGCTGATTTTTTGGCAAATAATGTTGAGATTACAGTCTGATTGAGCCTATTTTTAAAGTAAGCTTACAAACATTTCATTTTTTAATTGTAAGGAGCACAACTTATATGTTTTGTGTACAATATCAAAGTCTGTTGTCGGAAATTATTTTGCTTCACATTTTTCAACCCAAGAAGCACACCTAAAATAATAATAATACATCTATTTAACATCTAGTACCTTGATACACATTTAAAAACAAAATACAAATTAGGCAAATGTTCAATGTGTTAGGTGGTGTAGGTAGGTTACATTTAATGGATAGTTAGATAACATAATGGATAAGCGATTAAAACTAAATAGGACATAATATTAATAAATACTATGATATAAATAATTCTTATTTTTGATGGTCTTTTGGAAATTTAAAAAATGGTAGGTATATGTACTTCGTCGTTGCTGCTTGACCAAAGGCTGGTACATGGGACGTGATAACTCTATAGAAATTATAAACATTATATTTCTAATTCTATTTTAAAACGTAATAAAATCATAGTCCTTATATTCTATGAATATAATCTTGAATAATATAAAAATGGATATCATAGATAATATATTATTATCTATGATTTAATAAATATACATTGATAACTGATAAGCAATTATGGAACGGTTGTCGTCGAAGCGAAGGCGATTTATATTAATTTCCCTTTACACACTTATATATGGTGTCAATCGGTCCAATCGGACCAACACAAATTTGAATCCAAGAGTATATCGAAGGATCGAAGATGAGAGATGAAGAACATGACGAATACAAGATGACGTCGAATTAGGTATTAAGGGTTTTAAATTTTAATAAATCGAAAAGCAACAAAATAATTCGTACACAAAATGAGTATAAAATAAATGGGCGCGGATTGTGTATGGAGGTTGTTGCGAGCGGGCGCATAAAACTCGAGTGCAAGAGGCGGTCGGTGGCATATTTTTATAATTGTGTCTCATCTTCCATACACTTCATATTCCAGTATTTATAAATAAAATGTTTGGTTAAAATTAAAAAATATTTATGATTTGTATGTGTATAGTATATCTATAGTTAATTTACCAACTAATACAAGAACTGTAATCATATATATAAATT